GATGGAATGGTTGCGTAACGGGACCTTAGCATTTCCCATAAATATAATACTATAAATATTGGTATTCACATAAGTATGCATACATTAACTATTTTTTTTAATAATTTATTATTTCATTTAAGTATCATTCTTAATATTATTTAAAGAAAGAATTTGGAGCATGTTAATTCAATGATAAAATATTTCGGTCTAATCTGAATATTCATGAGTCAATGTCAATTTACAGGTCAAATGTTCTCGAAAGATTGTCGCTGTCCGACAGAGTAGCGCGTACAGGTGGCAGCCGTTCATTGGTGCGACATGCAGAGGGGCGGCGACGCGAAACAGACAAGCATATCTATAAGTAACTACAGAAACCCAGTAATGTGGTGCTTAAATCTGAATCAATATTGTAGTGCTTAATTAATGTCACAATTGGTGTGACTAATGACTAATGTCAAGTTAATAATCCTCCTATATATAATTCTTGAATGCGCTGAGCCTACGTGGCTGTTTATGGTGCTTCGGAATCTTACTTGGCGAAAAATCATGCTTCGTAATTAGGTTTGGACAAATAATATTGATATATTAATAATTAATAATCTAGATTTGAACATTTCATAAATATTATTTAGTTAACTTAGGTATTTTAATATCACTTGTACTAATATAACCTTTTAATTCCTTGTAATGTTACATAGTGAGACACTAAGTGACTAATATATCCCTGACTTTTGATTTGTTTCCTTCAATTAGCTATTGAATTGTAAATGTATTTTAAAAGATGATAACTTTTGTATTTCTTATCAGTTTTACATATATAATATATCAAATTAATCATCTTTTGATGATCTTCGATTTGACATCCATATTGTATATATTGAAATAAATAATTACGTTAATCTTTATAATAATAAAAAATAATTATATTTATTAAAATTCATTAGAAAAATAAAATTATTTCTCAATTGATATATTTTTGTTTAATGTAGTTTTATGTTGTAAGTTAAAAAAATTATTATAATATAACACAGGTATGTCGCACAAATAAAAAGTGACATACTAAATATATAATAATATATATTTTTATAAAAGGTATTTAAATTTTTTACAATTTTTTCTCATTAATTTTAGATTTTAAGAAAAAAAATTAGCAAACACACGTGTAATACACGAGAGTTGTACTAGTACATAATAATGAAGAAAATAACTCCACTAAGGGGTCATACAAGGTTATTTATTTTGAAAAATAGGGATATAAATTTCAAAGAAAATAAAAAAAATGAAATAAATTTAATATTATGTACAAATGTAAGATAAACATATATATTCTTATAATTTATATTGTATAAAAATAATAAATTGGATAGTGGATAAATATATATATTTTTTAAATTGTAATCCCTGCAGAAAGCGCTGAGCCTAAATGTCAGTCTCACATGCTTCGGAATCCTACTTGGTGAAAAAACATGTTTCGTAGTTTGGTCTGGATAAAAAATAATTATTATTCTGAATCATTAGTTTTAGGTTCATATACTCCAAAGGTATTGAAAAACTAACTTGGTAACTCCATAATAGTTTGACTACTATAGTACTTAAGTTGTACTGGAACCTTTGGTAACGATATTGATTGACTAATATAACCTTGATTTATTTTGGAAGCTCTCAATCGGCTCATTAATTTCAATGAAAACCTCAAATTAGCCTAATAAATATATATATTTAATTTTAAACAATTGTTGATAAATTTTAAAAATAAATTTCTTTTCAAATACCCGTGTAGTACACGGGTATTGTACTAATAATACAATATTTATTTTTCTTTGTTTTCACAAAAATAGTAAAATAACGATTCAGTATTGTAAATAAGTAAATAAATGATTAATTTTGGATAGAATGTATAAAAAGGTTTAATTCTTAATTTAAAAAAAAAATGTGCTGAAAAATGTTATTGGACAACACTACAAAAAAAAAATGTTATATTCCAACGAAAAATCCTATGGTAATATATTTCAATAGAAATTTCAATGGATATTCTAATGGTATAGGTTCTGTTGGAATGATTCCAATAGAAATATTCTTTTGAAATGTGTTTTTTATTGGAATTTTAAAAAGAATTTGATGATTTCAACGACTATATTTCCAACGATTTTTTGCCGTTGAAATATGTAATTTTCGTTGAAATTTTTATCTCCACCCCTGTTGAAAAATCTACCGTCAGAATCGTAAAAATCTAACGAAATATTTTTGTTGGAATTTCTTTTAGAATCTATTGATAAATTCCAACGAAAATAACAGTATTGAAATATCTATTGAAACTGCCGTTGAAATAATTCTATTAGAATATATATCCGTTGAAATTTCATCATTTGATTGCAGTGTAACGAAAAAATTTGAATTGAATAAAATTGACAACCACTTATTCTTTGTTTAGAAAAAAAAAATAAAAAAATAAATCAACCTTCGAAAGCGTTTCAAACGCGGAGAGTAATAAACACAAAGTTACCATGGGTAAAAAAAAAAAAATGTAATAATAATTATAAACCTAATTGGTAAACTAAACTAATACAAAGATATATACACTATACAAGGCCATGGTTAGATTATTATATTATATTATAGAGTAAAAAGTAGCGTGAAATATTTTTTGTCACGCCATCTAAACAAATCTTTGATCCCACTATAATCTGCCAACCAACCTAACTCTCACGCGTAATCAATAACCAATTTAATTAATTTATTTTAATTTTTTTCACCCCACAATCTTTGTAATTGAAAATAATTAATATTGCTTTTTTGTGTTAATACCCTTTTATGGTCTATGTTTTTTAGACAATATCTTAAAAGCAATTGCAATTATTGTCTTCACATTAACTTGATCATATATATTATATTCGGAAAAATATCAATTTTGGTTTGTTTACTTGTCTAATTTTTTTTTTTTTTGTACACTAACTTTATCTTCATCTATAATAGCATGTTATGCTGCAATTTGTATCATTTTTGGGACATTACTCACAAAAAAATACGTTATGTTGCAATTTTTATCATTTTTAGGACATTAACGAAAAATAAAAATGAACCATTTCGCGATAATGTTCCAATAGTAATACAAATTGCAACATAACGTACTATTATTGATGGGGAGAAAGTTAATGTACCAACAATGATTTAGACAAATAAACGGACCATAATTGAATTTTTGCCTATTATATTCAATAACCTATCAGGCAGGCCTTACAATTATAGTTATTGATGAGAAAATCATTTTTTTTTTTAACAGAAATTCATATTTCTAAACTACAATAATGTTATACTTCGTATGACATTTCATTATATAAATATATATATTTACAATATAATATATATATTTAATTGTAAAAGTGTAATGAATCGATCGACCCGCCTAACGGTTAGGTCACCCTATATAAAAATTCGTGATATTATATATTTATATGTATGATGTTGCATTTGCTACAACCATCTTATAACAACCGAGAAACTAGAATTTGTTGACTTTCTAGTTAGAATTTCCTTTATTTTTTATTTTTTTTTTGTGAAAAAATTGGTATGATGAGATGTGATTATACTTTTAGATTGCATAGTATATTAATGTTTTGAACATTATTATGTTTGGATAGTAAAAGTATTACATGTTATAAAACATTAAAATTTCAGTTGAAATATAATACATTTGAAAAAGAAAAAGGTGCATGATTTGATTTTGTTCTACAAACAATGCATGCATGGGTTTGCTTTGTTCTCCAAATATAGTTATAGGCTTATGAGAAGCATGCCATCTTATCAATTTCATGATGCATTCACTAATTTCCTCT